GGAGCGCGGGTGTTCCCCAGCTGCATGGGGAGGGTGGCTCGTTCTCAGGGTTCGAGGAGGAGGATGGTTTGTTCCTGGATTTTGGTGAGGAAAACGCTGTGTTCGTGGGATTCGGATGAGGAAAAGGCTTGAACCTTGGGTTTTCCTCGGGAAAACGGTTAATTATTGGGAATTTGATGAGGGAAATGATTGATTCCTGAGTTTGGATGAGGGAAACGGTTAATTATTGGGAATTTGATGAGGAAAATGATTGATTCCTGAGTTTTGATGAGGGAAATGGTTAATTATTGGGAATTTGATGAGGAGAATGGTTGATTCTTGGGTTTTGATGAGGAGAATGGTTGATTCTTGGGTTTTGATGAGGGAAAAGGCTGATTCTTGGGATTTTGATGAGGAAAATGGTCAATTCATGGGGGTTGATGAGAAAAGACTTTATTGTGCACAGTGAGGTTTGTTTTTCTCCTTGTGGAGAAGGACCTTGAAAAACCAAACCTAATGTGAAGTAAAACCAAAGTCCTGAAAGTGGAAGATCGGGTCGGGAGGGTTTGGGACCCGGGATGTTATTCGTTAACTCCCTCCTTTCAGAGTCACAGGATTTCAAGCCTTTGCTCTGCTGCCAGAGCTGTAAAACCTCAGCAGTGAGTTCTGTGGATGAGCAATACGGGAACTGCTGCGTGCTGAGAGATTTCTTCCACCTCCTGCTCCTGTGTAACCCCATAGAGTGTCTCATGGCTTCGCAGCGGTCACCCCAGAGGGAACTGTTCCTGTAGGAAGCTGCCACAATGATCCCAAACACCAGGGAAGCTCCAGGATCTGATCAGGCATCGGGTGATGTTTTTCCAACACAAGCAATGATTTCTCTTTTCCTAATCCTTTGAAATATTGAGCTCTCTCAGAACCATATTGGACGGGGCTTGGAGCAACCTGCTCTAGTGGAAGGTGTCCCTGCCCGTGGCAGGGGTTGAGGCTGGGTGAGCTTTAAGGTCCCTTCCACCACAAACCATTGTATGATTCCATGACGAAGAGATTCTTCCTTGAGCTCTGGACAGTTCATCTGTCCAAGCTCTGCCTACGTTTTCCTCCTAATCCACCCGTTTATTGTTCTTGTGAGCAGCTGCATT